TTACTATCCGAAGATTATATATATAGAAATTAAATTGGTTTAATATAAAAAATTTAATGAAATTAGTAGAATTTTATTTCCGATAATATTTTATAATTAAAAGAGGTATATAATTTAGAAGAATGGGTGTTATTAGGACTCATCAAAATAGATATTAAAAAATATTATTTCATTATAATGATTTTTATTAAGGAATGTATGAAGCTGAGATCTTCTAAATTTATGGTTTCGGAGACCCGTGGCTTGTAGAAAAAAGCTAATTCAATAAAGGACTGGATTTCTAAAATTGATTGTGCTTTCTAATAAGAATTATCATATTTCTCTCTCTACAATATTGGAGCGGTCGTAGCAGTTATAATTTCTGTCATTTTATAATATTGAAAATGTCGTAGTAATTGTAGTTTCTGCTGAAGTGATCGTGATATTTGTAGTTTCTGTGGCTCGGCAATACGGAAGTGGTCGCAATATCTGCTATTTCTCTTTTTCTGAAAGACCATAATGATCGTGGAATTCAGAATTTCTCTTTCTCTGCAAGATTGAAATTGTCGCAGTAATGGCAGCCTCTCCTGCTGTCCTGTATCTGAATCAAGCTTAGCTCTGAGGCAATCCAATATTGTAATCAGCAACAAAAATAGTTGAGGAAAGATTTATTAATTGGACGTCAATATTAATCGATATAATATTTATAAAAGTTTGTCATGGATAAAAATATGCACGTAGTCTGAGGCCACGTAGGGCTTTGCCCGCGGTCTTGATAAGGATACGTTGTGTATTGCTGCAAATCTTGGTGGCGTGACGTCAAAGATTTATATCCTCGGCGGCAAGGGAATAAAGGAAGATATCTTTGATCTATAGCGATTGACTTTTTTGGGATAGCAGTGTTCGTCCCAGCAGCGAGGAGCCCAGAGGAACAGCAGCAGTGCGAGCCTTAATAATAAGAAAAATAGTTAAGAAGGATACTAAGCCCGCTGTTATTGGCCATGGCACCCAAGCCAGCGTGCAGTGGCTGCAGCGGCAAAAGTACTAAAGAGTTTGAAATCAAGGAGCAAACCACGGGAAGGAATTAGAGAATTTCAGAAGAAGGAGCAAACCGACCAGAGAAATCGAAAGCAAGCAGCAAACCACTGAATAGAACTAGATAATTGCTGAAGGGAAAAAGGATTTTCGAATCAGACTAGAGAAATTGAATCAAGGAGCAAACCACTCGAAAACAACTAGTGAATTTCGGCCCCAAGAAGACTAGACAATTTGGAAATAAGGAACAAACCGCTCGAAAGGAACTCGAACGGAACTAGAGAATTTCAGAAGAAGGTACAAACCACTCGAAAGAGACTAGAGAATTTCGAAAGATACTAGAGAATTGGAAGTCAAGGAGCAAATCGCTCGAAAGGAACTAGAGAAGTTTTACAACAAGGAGCAAGTCGCTCTAAAGAGACCAGAGAATTTCGAGAGACGCTAGAGAGTTGGAGGGTAAGCAGCAAACCACTCGATAGGAGCTAGAGAGTTTCAGATTCAGAAGGAAACCGCTTGAACGAGATTAGAAAATTTCGATATAGCCAACAGAATTTGAAAACAAGCAGCAAACCACACCAAAACAATTAGAGACTTTCAGAACAAGCAGGAAACCGCTCGAAAGGAACCAGAGAACTTCAGAAGCAGGAGCAAACAGCTCGAAAGAAACTAGATAGAGAATTTCAGAAGAAGGAGCAAGCCGCTCGAAAGATGCTAGAAAATTTCGAAAGAGATTGGAGAGTTTGGAAAACAAGGAGCAGAAACCGCTCGAAAGGAACCAGAGAATTAAAGGGCTAGAATTTTTCAATGAGACTAGAGAATTTAAGAATAACGAAAGATTCGCCCCAAAGGTACTTAGAAATTTCAATGAATATACATTCAAAAAAAGTGTTCGAAAGAGACTAGAGGATTTCGAAAGAGACTAGAGATTTCGAAAATAAGGAGCAAACACACGAAAGGAATTAAAGATTTTCAGAACCAATAGCAAACCGCTCGAAAGAGAGAATTTCGAAAGAGACTAGAGAACTTCAAGACCAAGGAGCAAATTCTCCAAAGGAACCAGAGCCTTTCAGAAGAAGGAGCAAACCGTTCGGAAGAGACGAGGGGATTTCGAACAAGACTAGAGGCTCTTGAAAACACGGAGCAAACCTCTCAAAAGGAAGTAAAGGGTTTCAGAAGAAGGAGCAATTCGCTCGAAAGAAACCATAGATGATAATTTCGAAAATATTAAAGAATTTGAAAAGAGGGAGCAAACCGCTCGAAAGGAACCAGAGCATTTCAAGAGAAGGAGCAAACCTCTCGAAGGAGACTATAGAGAATTCCGAAAGACGCTAGATAGAGAGAATGGAAACAGGGACCGCTCGAAAGCGAAAGAAACTAGAGAATTTCGACAGAGACTAGAGAGTTTGAAAATAAGGAGCAAACCGCTCGAAAGGAATAAGAGAATTTGATTATAAGGAGCATACCGCTCGAAAGAGGCTAGAGAATATGGAAAGAGACTAGAGATTTTGAGAAGAAGGAGAGAACTGCCCCAAAGGGATATAGAAATTTCGAAAATATAAATAAAAAACGCTCAGCAGAGACATAGAGAACTTCTAAAGAAACTAAATAAGATGAATACAAGGAACAAACCCCTCGAAAAAGACTAGGACAATTCCGAATAAGACCAGAGAAATTGAACACAAGGAGCATGCCGCTCGAAAGGAGCTAGAGAATTTCAGAACAAGGACGAGAATTTACAAAGGTTTGAAAAAAGGATAATACCGCTCGACAGGAACTAGAGAATTTCAGAAGAAGAAACAAGCCGCTCGAAAGAGACTAGAATCTAGAGAATTTCGAAAGAGACTAGAGAGTTTGAATGCAAGGAGCAAACAGGTCGGAAGGATTTAGAGAATAAAGGTCAAATCGAACGAAAGGAATTAGAAACTTTCAGCACAAGAACACGCCGCTCGACAGAGGGTAGGGAACCTCGACAAGGGCTAGAGAATTTAATAATAAGGAGCAAACCGCTCGAAAGAGACTAGAGAACTTCGACATAAACTAGAGAAGATGAAAACAAGGAGCAAACCGCTCCAAAACAACTAGGGAATTTCAGAACAAGGAGCAAGCCGCTCGAAAGCGACGAAAACGAAAGGAACTAGAGAATTTCGAAGGAGACTAGAGAGCCTGAAAATAAGTAGCAAGCATCTAGATAAAAAAGAAAAAGAAGAAATTGTTCGAAAGAAATTAATGATTTTGAAAAGAGAGGACAAGTCGCTCCAAATATGATTTAGGCTTCATGATAATAAGGAGCCAACCATTCGAAAATGACTAGCTAAAGATCAAATCTTTCGATTTGAATTAGAGAATTGTAGAATAAGGAAGAAACCGCTCATAAGAGGATAGAGAATTTATAAAAAATATAAAGAAATTAAAAGCAAAGAGAAAGCATAGATAATATCGAAAAATATTATAGAAATTGAAATCGGGGAGCAGATCATTGGAAAGGAATTAGAGAATTTCAGAAATTGAATAAATTATTCGAAAAGAATTAGATAATTGCTAAAGGAATAGGGGCATTTCGATAGAGATTAGAGAAATTGAAAATAAGGAGCAAGACGCTCGAAAAAAAATATAAAATTTCTGCAAATTAGAAAATTTCGGTATAAGGAGCCAACCACTCGAAATAGATTCAAGAATTTAAAAATAAGGAGCAAACCTCTCGAAAAGAATTCGAATGAAATTGGAGAATTTCAGAAGAAGATATGACCCGCTTGAAAGAAACTAGAGAATTTCGAAAGATATTACAGATTTGGAAGAGAAGAAGCAAATCGATCGAAAGGAATCTAAAAATTTCAGAATCAGAAGGAAAAAAATACTAGAGAATTTCAGAATAAAGAGCAAAATACTCGAAAAGATCCTGAAAATTTCAGAAGAAAAAACAAGCCGATCGAAAGAGATTAGATAAAGAAATTGAAAAATATTAGAGACTTTAGAAAATAAGGAGCAGGAATCATTCTAGATAAAGCAAAGAATTTCAGAAGAAAGAATAAATTATTCGAATAATATTAGAATCTTATTCAGATACTAAAGAATATAGAAAAATCAGAGAATTATTCCAAAATTATTTAGAAATTTCGATTATCTTATCATTCGAAAAGAATTAGAGAATTTCAGAATCAAAAGAAATCGCCTAAAAAATAAAATTTCGAAAGAGACAACAGAATTTCAAAAAAGAAGAGCAAATTCTCTAAAAGAATCAGAGAATTTTGAGAAAGATATAAATTAATCGAATAAAATAAAAGAATTTCGAGAAAGATTAGAAGTTGCACCAACGATAACAAGCAGGGCATGAGTCGGAGAGGTCAGCTAAGCACCCCACCGCCCAGGAGATTGCTCATTTGACAAGTGACATGCATGCTAGCAGCCACCTGAGCCCTTTTACGTAATTAGCACCACCAAAATATCCAAACATGCCCCGCAAAAGGCAGCGACAAATACTCAGAAAGACGCACCAATGCCCGGCAGTACGACCGATTACAGATACGCACGCACTTATCTGTATATCCTTCATAATGAAGCATAACGACAATTATCAAAATAATTATCAAAATAGCGCTCCTCCAAAGATATCCCGATAAATCTTATCCTCGTGATTGTCTGCTTGTGAAGTGATTTTGTGAAAAATCATGGGGAATATCGCAACCTTCTTGTCTCCATCCATCCCCTTCATAAAAATCATCGATTTATAAACTTCAAGAAGATGATAATCATAAAAGTCATCATATCGGCCGCGAGCGAACAAGGAACGCCGTCTTTTTGAAACCGAGCTGCCGAGGTTGCAATGCATCTCCAAAGATGCATGAGCGGGAAATACCCAGGCGGCCCAGGCGCATGCGAGCCAAACGATCAGAGAGAGACGGCTTTTTGGCCGTGCAGTGTGGTAACGGAACGTACTCAACCTATTGGCACACAAGCCTGACAGAGCATATGCAGCATATCCGCTAAGCTCAGACGGCGGTAAATGGGGTGCCCTCACAACCTTGCATGGCACGCCCATATGACTCTTTGAGGCGCTGAATAGCTTCGAGGATGGTGGTCTGATCCTTGGGACACAGGACACGGACTAGGGTTCACAAGGGTTTAGGAGTTTAGGCTAGGGTTTGGCTCATGAGCTATGCAAGAGTTCCAGCTGCGCTGCTCTGGTCTTCCAGGCTTCCGAATGGTTGAGATGCGGCACCGAAAGCCCAAACCCGGGCAAACCTTCGATCACCTCCTTCGGATGTGCGATGTTTGCGGGGCTCTGCAGCTGCCAAGCCATCCCATGCAAGCAATGCCCATGTTGCATGGTAGTTGGGTCTAGCATTTGGGCTGCCTACCTATGGATGGGAACCCTGACCAGCCTCTAAGTGTTCTTTTGTGATTCCTCTGCTTGGAACCTGGCTATCCGTGCTATCCGGCCCAATGGCTGGCAATGCGGGGGGACATTCTCCAACACATGCCGAAGGCCCCCAAAAAGCTAAAAACCCTAAACCCCTTTTCAGCATGGGCTTGGATTGTGTGCCAGCGAACACACCTCAACAGCAGGGCCCCAAACCCCAAAACCCCAAACCCTCAACGCAAGGTCTGTTTCCCACCCTCATGACTCATGAGCACTGACGGTAGGGTTTATGGCCCAGAATCCGGCTTGCCCAGCCCGGCAGCACGCATTCGGAACACAAGGAAGTAGAGGCCTTTCACCTGAGGGCGAGTTGCAAGGTTTAGGGTTTAGGGTTTAGGGTTTAGGGTTTAGGGTTTAGGGTTCAGGGTTTAGGGTTTCGGGTTTAGGGTTTAGGGAAGTCCAGGCTTCAGGGTGCCCCCTACACTACTCGGAGCGTCTGAGGGTGCTTTCTCCCCAGGGACTCCAATAGCCCTTACTTAAGGAATATACCTTCAATCATATTAGGGATCCTACTATAATTTAAAATATATTCCTTAATTAAGGGATATTGGAGTCTCTCTGAGCACAGATGAACTCCCAGCATCCAGGACAATGACCCACGCAGGCGTGTGCAGTAGAGCGTTTATTGCTAGTATCCCCCAAAAGTACACCCAACATACATATATGCACCAATCTTGAAAAGGAATCCTGAATACACTCAACATACATATTCACCAATCTTGAAAAGGAATCCTACATACACTCAACCAAAAAATGATGATGGATCCCTGTTTCACATGGGGGTTTCCGAAAATAGGGGACCCTAATATAGTACCCTAAATAGTAGGATCCTTATTATAAGGACCCCTAATTAAGGTACCCCTTATTTTCGGAAACTCTCACATGGGGGCCCAAGTCGAACTCTCACCTCCTCGGTCTCCGGCTGTTTCACTGAGCCCTTGCGGCAGAGAATTGCTATGCTGAACCTGCATGGGCTGCATAGGGCTTAGTGCCTATAGTGCTAAACTTTTAAACCCTAAACCCTAAACCCTAAACCCTAAGCAGAGGCGATATCATCTTTTCGCCGAGGTGCAGCCGCCTGTGCCTGCCTCACGGTCTGCGAGGCCAGTGAGGACTGGCAGCCTTCTAGACGCCTGCATGGCAGTGGTTTAGGGTTTAATGGTTTAGGGGTTCAGGGTTCTAGGGTTTAGGGGTTCAGGGTTCTAGGGTTTAGGGGTTTAGGGTTGAGGGTTTAGGGGTTTAGGGTTTAGGGTTTCCGACTCAGCCGAGTGGACAGACCAGCAGAACAACACCTGTGCCCAGTCCTCGCTGCTTGGCCGAATGCCGTTGAGCACTGTCTTGTCCAGGTTCCTCAAACTCCGAGGAGCCCCCAACTACCACAAATGCCCGTCATTAGGATGTCATTACGCAGATGCCAAGGACGTGTAACGACATCAAGGCGGGAAGACTTTGCCGGTACTATTCTGCTCTGTGCTCCTGTGGATGTGAGCCCGTGCTGCCGTCGCGCTACCCAGTTCAAGTTCCACTTGTAAGAGCTTTGGGGTCCAGGGATGTTTTAAAGGGTTTAGAGAAATTCGGTTCCAAGCTTCCAGAATTCACGAACACGCCGCCCTAAGCTAAGCCATTGACCATTGGTCATGAAACCTACATGTCTGTGTATGTGTGGGTGTGTTCAGGGTCTGGTGTAGTGCGTGGAGCCATGCGATGCCATGCTTTACTATTCAAGAGTCGGGGTTGTTCGAAAAAGGCCATCGGCCTGCCAAATTTGGCTGTGTCCAGGCCTACTCCCCAGAGAAAGGAATGCTCGGCATTCTTTCAAACTTGAAGCCGCTGTAAATGGCTTCATACTACTCAGCTCCGTAAACCGTCTTCCCTGAACAGCATTGCAACACAAATTTTGCCCTTCAGATTTAGGAGGGTCGTAGCGGGCTGACGCCGCCAGAGGCCCGCAGCGGGCTTGCGGAAGGGAAATGCACCGATCCAGAAGGGAAAATATGCCGAGACGCCGATACGCCGATAAGGAAAATACGCCGATACGCCGACACGCCGCAAGCGCGCTCACGGGTGCAACGGTGTATCGGTGTATCGGTGCGGAGCTGTTTTGGCGACGCTGTTTGCGCGCCCTCTGGAACATCCTGGAACTAAATAGACCTTCCAAGCCTGCTGGACGATGTCCAGAAACTGGCGTCGAAGAATGTCCGTTCTGAATATCATCGTGCCCAAACAGAGCACACAAAGGAGGGTGATAAAGCCACTATACCTCGGCTGTGTCGCTGTCCAAGCAGCAATGAAGCGTCGGCCAATAATCAGGCAAGATGCATGCGAAACAAAAGCAACTTCACCCATCTCTTGTGAAGGTATGTAGGGATTGAATCCACAAGCCGTGCACCACACCACTACCCCAGCTGTACACATCACAACCCAGGCACCGATTCCACATAGTGGTTCCGGAGCCCATGTGGTTGCACTAACTTACTACTGCATGTCTGACGACTTTGAACCAAGTCTGCATCTTGTGAACATGGTCGGTGACACGTTTGCCGTATGCCGCATCCACAACGAAGCAGTGGCGTCAACACAGGGGCCGCAGCAGAAAGAATGCTGCCCCGCCTCTCGTGATATCACGCTGCCATTATAACTATGTAGTTCGGCTCTAGGTTCCAAGATGCTTGCTTTCGCAAAAGCAATTCCCCCACGCCCGTACCGGAGCTGCGCGACACCGTCTGGCGAGGCAACAAACCGCCAGCTGAAAGAGGTGTCGTCTTCGTGCGGCAGTGGGCAGCGGAACGCACGTCGGAGGCCCTGCTCCCGGACTCATTGTGCGTTTTATACTCTCCATGTGCGCAGAACCTCGGGCGAACCACGCGCTTCGTCACGTTGCCACCGTCCGAATCTTGAGGGTATGTGCAAGCGCATGACGCAGGCATTTGGGATACTTTGCGGTCCTGCGGCCGCGTCTACGATGAAGACTCGCGCCGCGCCTGGTCCATCGCCACCTTTGCCTGCCCATGGCAGAATGGGCTTGCAATCCGCAGAGCGCACAGCCCCCGCGGCGTACTGGGCGGGCTGGGCGGATGCGCTACCCGTGATCGGCTCTCGCGCGGCTCGATTTCGCACGCAGATGCCTCGCCGAGCTCGAAAGTCGCAGCGGAGATTGGAAGTGGATGGCTTGTTTTGGTTGGCCACTGGTTCGGCGCGTGCTGCCCAACGGCTACCGTATGTTCGCATTTCGGTACGTTGTGGTGCGACTTTACGTGCCATGGTCCAATCCGCTGTGGCCTGCCCGCAGTATATGGACCTCGCGGCCCAGCATGACCAAATCCAGCGCCTTGTGAGTAACGTCAGCGCCTCCTTACCGTCTGCATTGCACCACTTTGCCTACGCTATGCGATGGTTGATGTATGTTGATGTATCATGGATGTATCCATCCATGCGGCTTCGGTGGTATTCTCAGGTGCTCCTCCGTGCCGTGATGCTACACTTTCGGTCCTTGCTTTGCTGCGTTGGCCACCTTATGGGGATGTGGGCTCGTGGTGGTGTTTTTTTGCGGGCATGGGAGGTCTTCTCCTTCGAGCGCATTGCAGACTTCAATCGTTGTAGCGGTCACGGACCGTCCTGGGCTCGAGTGTGTCCCGGGCAGTACGGTCAGTCATCACCGTGTGTCAGATTCTTCGATGAAGGATGTCGGATTCAATTACGTCTTGCCCAGCTACTTGCAGACAGATACTTGTTCACTGATGTTGTCACGGATTATGACGTGAAAATCTCCTCACAATGGCACGGGAGCTGTACTGAGTGCCTACGTATAGTGAGTTCGTGTGAGAACAGCTCTTTGCTAGCGTGTGGGGGCCAGCGTGTCCGCAACTGTGCATTCCTGGCCCCGGGTGCTGGTAGAGGGCTGTCTTGAGCAGAGTTGGGCTGAACAGCGTGCCGCCGCTCGGCGCGCCGCTGCCGCCTTGTTGCCCCTTGGCGTTTTGAAGTCGGCGGCCGCGAGCTGCCGGGACAGCATGGGTCGCACGATGGTCCGGCCTACTTGCAGTCGCGGAGCAGCGCGCGTATTGTGCCGCCTCGCTGCCTGAGCTCCCCCCCAATTCGGGGCTCCCGGCTGGTCAGGCTCGGAGCTCCACGAACTCCTTGCAGGCGAACAACCTCGGACGCTGTCTCGCGCTGCTGAAAAAGGTGCGTGAAGAAATATGGAAGAGCCGAGTTCAGCAAACCGCAAGCAGTTGAAGGAATGATATGGAATGATCAAAACGAGCACATCGGAGCGGTTCGTGTGGCCGCACGGCCGCGCGAAGAGTTGAGCCAATGTGCCAACACAGAGCCAGAGCACCCGTTGCCGAGCCTTCTGTGGAAGTGCAGCGCGGGTCCGAAAGATCGCGCGCGAGCTCCAGCGAGCCCGTCGTGAAGGCAACAACCGGTGAAGAAACGGCGGGAGCCAGTTCGACGTCGTGATCCAAGACCCTGCTGCTTCTACCGGCCACTTTGAGACAAAAGCCACGAATTCCCATCTCTGTGGGCTCAATGCTAATGTGGTCGGAACTAGCAAAACCAAACTCAGAGCAGCTGGGCTTTGCATTGAACGTACATGACGATGTGATTGGTGGCATGCGCTTTCCGGAAAGAGTCACTTTCACCTACAATCCCGTTCTCACTGCTTGCAGCTGCTTTATTTTCCGAGTGAAATCGGACTGTGGTTACAAAACTGCCGAAGCCCCCATCGTCAGTTTCGTTGTGTCCCATGGCAAAGTTCCGAAGAAAACAGCATGCTCACATGCAGAAACATGAAATCACGTGCAGTGGCCATGTGTATGAGGTCTTGACAGACCGATGGCCAATGCCTGACCGTTAAGCCATCAAAATTGTCATTGTGGTCCGAGGGAAAACAAAAATTGTATGTTACGAAGGGGCTGCATACATGTTGCGCTTCAGCTGTGCTCCAAAGGACCAGAATCCAAGCACTCAACAACACGTCGAATGGCCAACGCTCGCAAAGCTCGCTGTAGCAAAACCGTCCCCTTCGACGGCAAGTTGAACGTGTTTATATGTGGCGAGCATGCGTAACCGATCGCTTTCACCAGTTTGAGCTACCACGGCATCCCTGACCTGTTGATCTGATGCAAGCCGTCTGCACTCCACCTCAAGCAGATTGAGATATCCATCTATCCCAGCCATTCTTCTTCTTCTCCAACTGTCGCATCAATTTAACCAAAGCCGCAATGCTTTCATTAGGCGTTTGCTCGCGGAAGCCCAAACTCTGAGCCTTGCGCTTTTCCAACTTCCATTTCGAATCGTTGTCAATTCGGCCTTGAAATCCGATGCTGAAGGCAACTGTCCCAAGTATCGTTGAATCGATTCAAGTTCCTCGCCCCCTCCTGGAGCGTAGCGTTCATAAAGGCTTTCGAACCTGAGCACACACCGAACTCAACTTGAAGTCGAGCTCTCCACAAGTGGCTGGCGAACTTGCGGGAGGCATGTGAGGAGGCTCAGAAAGAATCGTGTCTCCATTTCCGAATCTGCCGCCATTACATCAGGCAACGGCTCTTCACACCCAGAAAGCCCCTTCTTCTCAACGCCCCCGCCCTGGATCATAAACATTATGAAAATGTTTTGTGAATCTTGGATGGATGGCTGTCATGACAGTTCGTGTTTCAACCCTCCACTGATGTACCATCATTCCAATTTCCCATGGCACCCCACAAGCCGACAAAACAGCGTAGGAGCATCCTTCAACAGTTTATATCCAGTCTGAGGAATCCTCTTTCCCGGTTCTCGACACCCTCAGATGCCCTTTTCATGTGAGCTGGCAAGTTAGCGGAGGTGACCTAGGACCGAAACCCAAACCCGGAGGCTCTCCAAGCCCCCGGTCGGAGCAGGCCAATCCAGCGCTTCACCCCACCATGTGCTCACGTAATCTTCCTCTGCATCCCCGTTGTTCTCTGGAGTCATAGCGAAGTGCGAAGGTCCCAGCCCTGAGTGAACATTTGCGCTCCCAACGTGTTGTCTGAGCCCGAGCCCCTCAACATCCATGCCTGGCTCCCGTCTAGTTGCGAGGTCCCTTTCCCGCAGTTGGCTCACAAGGGTTCAGCCACGTCGGTGACCGTCCAGTGGGTCTGCTCCAAGCCACGTGCATACTTGTCTTTAATCGAATCAGCCTCAGCTTGCGCCTTATCCCAGCTTAGCCTTAGCTGCTCAGTCTGTTCATTGCTAATGTTCTGCTTCCTGGTCATCGCTGCCATGGTTTCTGCAGGCCGTTTCAGCATAACTACCAAGTACTGTTTCTGCTTTCGGCAGACTTGTCAAGGAGCCATCATAATCCTCCCGCATGGAGGCCTGAGCAGCCGCCCCTG